AGATATCTCGTGACGCCGTATTATCTACAGGATAGTTATGCATATCTGTCAAGGGGGATCATCAACAGAGATGGCCCTCGCGTCGCCAGTGCACAGTTCACGCTGTTGTCTAACAACGCTGTACTTAATGGAAGTCGAAATCCAAGGGGAAAGGTGTTGTGACCAGTTTTGCGAAACAAAATATATTTTGCGATTATAATCGCATTTGGTAAATCCAGGGATCGTAAAGCAAACGAACGCCAACAACCGGTTTTCTGGGGTGAAATTTGCAATGGATATTCTTTAGATGTTTTTTATTTCTAAAGAACACGGAAGAACGCCAAAATATGTTACGGTGCAATTTCAAGTTTTACGTCGCGTAAACCGGTAAGAAGATGTGAAACGGTGAAGGTCCTTGATCTTGAAATTTTGCTTACTTAAAGCAAATGCTACGAGCAACATGTCACCGGAAGTTGCAACCAGATTGGTTTAACTCCCCGTTAAAGTCACAACTTCGAAAACCCTATAGTTTCGGCGAAAACAAATTGGGTGTGCAAACAACCAGCGGCGCCCTAGAAACTGCTTCTAGTTTTAGTTCAAATTATCCGGCCGGATTACTCTAACACTATTCCAGGTTCCAATTTTCCGCAACTTGCACTTTTATCACGTGCCGGACAGGACGGCTACTTTTAGCCTCCCATCCGTTGCACCGTTGCCCGCTGTTTTTAAATTGTGATTATCTGATCTTGCTCTGGCTCAGTATGTTCCCGAAAATGGAGCAACATAACTCTGTTCTCTGTCGTTGATCTCCACAGTACCTAGATGGCGACAGTTTGAGCGCGACGGCACCACCGTCGGATAATGCAAAGTTTCGTTTGAATACTCCATTCCCGCTCAATCCTTGGTACCCACAAATCCCATCAGTTTTTATTCTGGCTGTGCCATTATGATCATCCCTGATAGCATGCAACAAATCTGCTAAGAATAGACATCGGTATCACTGATTCCGTCCCAACCTGTACCAAATATTTGTCCACGGACCACTCTTGCCTTCATAGCCCCTCTCCAATCTCCGCTACCGTGTGAATAAAACTGCCCCACTGCGAGCACAAACGACACTCTTCTCCTCCGTGTTCTTCATTCTCACTTAATTGCACACTCACCTACAGTTTCCTCAATTACTCCCAAGAAGACTAGTCCTTCGTTAGTTGCTACAAATTATACCAAAAAAGGGCACCCGTCGGAGGGAATTTTACCAACGTCAAAGAAGGAGTTACCAAGCCGGTACAGCCTGTCTCTCACGCCATGTCACCTAAAACGTGCCTTAAGTCTTCCTAATTTTTGAATATTAAGGAAAATGCAATAGTGTTCCAGTGCTACAAGACATTCCGCCGAGGCCCCTCACTTGCGCTAATGCACGTGGCACAAACTTACTTTCTGGGCGACACATACCTTTACAATTTTTGCATTCAGAATTCTTAATTTCCTCTTGAAATAAAGGAGTAATTCTCAGTTTTTCATCGACCACACTGCAACCTCTCATTCACATCCGGGAACCCGTTCCCGTTATAAACATTTGACCACTCTAACCTTGCCACCACCCTGCGTATGGTGGTATTAACTTCCAAGGCCTCAGTCAACAAACTTCCTTCCTAATTTTAATTACGTCCTTGAGGACGCAGTGCGCTGAATATTGTCAACACACTTTAATCACAACTGGAGTCTGCCCCAGCTGACAACTCAGAATTTGAAACAGGATTTCTGTCACTGTTTTCCTGAAGGAACCTGACGTCACAAATCACCTACGGCTAGGTTGAAGAAAATGGCTTCTGCTTTCATGGAGGGATCCTGTGTTACGTAAGGCCTACTCATGATTATTGTTCAACGAAGCTTGCCATCTTTTGAAGTAACCACGTTTCAGCCAAACCCTGCCTTCATTCACTGAACTGATAACAGCATTTAGTCATACTTTTAGGGATCTGCAACTTTAAAAACGGAGATTTTAGAAGCCTGCCACCTCAACATCACCCACGTTTCGGGCAGTCAGCATTTACACAAAAACCGTGGTTATCTCCTTGTACAAAATCGCAATCTAAGGTCCCAGACCATGAGATAGCTTGTAATTGGCCTACCTAGGGCTCTGTCACATAAGCCCCTCTGCCACCCAAAACATTGGGAGAGTTTCAGCCTTCTCCTAGAAGGAAAGACAGGGAAAACGCACAAGCGGCCAAATATAGATATTAAAAGTCTAGACAGAACAATTTGCGGCCCTGTGATCTGTCCTCCAGGTGATGGTTTCTTAGTCGCTCAAAGACGGTAACCTTCTTCTCGTTTGGAAGGAGGCGACTGATACGCCAATCTGATGGACCGGTGATTGAATATCGCCCGGCAACTACAGGCCTATTAGTCTCGCTAGGGTACCAATCAGTGTAATGGAACGCAATCTGAACATGCCATCTAAAATCACCTCATTACTAAAAACCTGACATCTTCAATGCAACAAGAAGTGCTCCCAAACCGTTCCTGCGCAGTAAGCACGCTGGTATGCATGGACAGCTCAATCAAAGCTATGGACGAAAGACCGATAACGAATGCCATATTTTTCGAATTCTCAAAGTTCTTCGATCTAGTCCCACATATCGCGCTGCCCCAAAAACTCGAGTTTAAAGAGGTAAAAGGAAAAATTTTACGCTGGATAAAGGCGTTTCTGTCGTGTGGAACGTCTTGATTGAAATGGAGCTCGACCTAATCTTCATCGTTGCCGACCTCCCTTGGAAATTTTCAGGGCTCTGTTTTGGGACCGAATCTGTACCTGATCCACATCAGAGGCCTTTTGGACGTTCTTTCAAGTTCAAGTCCAAGTCAAGGGCGACTTGGAATCCTGAAGCTCGGGTCTCAGTATCCTCCAAACGGATGTATAGGCTGCAGAGCATTGGCCGTTGGACTGGCACCTTTCCTTGAGTGATGAAAAGTTCGTCCGCTCTTCATTCGCAAGGAACTCGGCGATTGTAAAGATGAACCAGAAGATATCATGAGAATATATACAGAAGGAAGTTGAGTATCTAACTCTCTTCAAACGTTTCATTTATAGTTAACATTATAAAGTCGGATCAAAAGACATTGGCTATTCTACAGATGATTCGGCGAATAACCACCGTAATACTTGTATAGACTAACGGTGGTTCCATGGGGGTAGACGTCAGACCATTCCCTGAGAATGCAAACCAAATTGTATACTACGGACGCAAGATGGGCTTAACGCTCTTTGAACGTGTTTAACCAGTTGCTAAAAATGGCTGCCGGCCTTAAATTCGTGGATTATGAAAAGCCCCTGGAGACTCTTCGCCACGTGGAGACCCAACACTTACCTAAACCCTGTTTAAACAAGGCTTCGCCAGCAGGTTTTTCACCGTTGAACTGACTAACACACGGTGGGCTACTGTTAGAAGATTTTGAAGGTCAGAGCGCACATCGTGATTAAGCAAACATTATTGTCATTTCAGGGAGTTGCTGCGTATGATAACCTCCCTCCGACGGCTTTTGACGCTGCATCTAGTACCCAGTTCAGAGCAATTATAGACGCTTTTTCAGTTAAGTTCTCGCGCTGGCAAGCTTACTTCCCCGCGCTGGCGACTGAATTAGTAGTTCTATGCCCCTTGTTCGCTTGTGCAATTCAGGCGAACAAAAGCCTCTAAACGAGAAGCACAAACCCGGTTTGGAAGACTCGAGCGAATGCGTCGATCCCGTGTATCATTTTGTGAATCCGTGACAATATCTCAGGGCTCGCCAGGGGCGTCGTCATAATATTCTAAGCCACATCAACGGTTGCTTCCTCTCTGAAAATTCGTGATATTTTACAACTATTGGGGCCTTCAGGCTACCCGATATCCTTACTGTACACTACCGAGGTGTTCGGGACTACAAATATTCTCCCATTTTTCTTTCTGCACACTTAGCCTCTTATCCTTCCACCACATCCCTCAGCCATCAGTGACTCCCATAGGTGATGTGTTAAAATGACCGTCATTTTGCAAGTGCTCTCCTAGACCCAGTATACCCACCCAAAGGCCTTCAGAACACTCTCGATAGCCCCTGAAACTTCGTGATCCACTATTTTTCCTCTACATTTGTCCTACTGATGAACTCCCTCCCTGAGGCTGGAAAACGGTCGCATACAAACAACAAACAGCGTGATCCCAACAACTACAAACCGATGAGCCTAAACACCTTGTGTAATCTCATGAAAAAACCATCAGTTATCAGCCGTTCTCATTCGGAAAGGTCTGCTTCGTTATTAATGGATGAATTAATTCACCATGCTTCTTATTGCTCATTTCATCTATTTTTTTATTGATCTATACTACCGTTGGAGATAACTGAAACAGCCACCGGCGTTTTCATATTCCTTCACGTGATCCCGTAGACAGTAGATTTCGAAGGTAGTCTGAGAAGTTGTGTCACCAGAGTTAGCACTTAAGACTCGTGAATGATCGCTGTAAGTGCGATCGAAATCAGAGGAGAGAATGGAGGCACGTGGCCACGTTTGTATTACAAGAAATCGTACAGATGCGCGGGTATAGTGGGGGTAAAGGAAGGTACAAAACGCCACACTAGCGAACACGAGTACCTCTAACTCCATTCTTTCTCTCTGATATAGTCGTTTATCCAGGTCGCATCTCCAGACAAAGATGTATTTCCACGTTTAGCTTCCCTCCTGGGATGCGCAACATATTATGACAAATTGCACTCAGTATGCTCGTGAATTTCTCCATATGTATATTTGAAAAAGTGCCATTTTGCTTAATTTCATTTTTCTTGGCATCTTAGGCTAGGTCAAAAGTCTTCGCTCTTTTAGGATGCCGTAGGAATCACAGTCAAGAGTTGACGGCTGACGATCCTATTCCACGGGCTTTTGGGTGAGTGAATTGGCTTCTCGTCTTCCGTTCGCAACTCCATTGTTCACACTTAGTGTATTGAACTGAATGAGCAGAAATGAGGCATTTTCAAAATTAGACGGTGCTCCGCGATGCGATAATGTCGTTGCCGTTCAATGGATTGGGGTCCTCTAATTATCATGCAGTAAGTGTTTTTAGGGTCCACATAGCTTCATGTTCCTTAGAATTAGAGACTTATATCTCCTGTGACCTTTAGACAGTAATTTCCAGAAACGTCCCAAAGCTTGCATGTAATTACGGGATATCACTATTACCGCAACTTTTCGATTCTTCATTTTCATGGCCTATGAGTAATTCATGAAAGGCTCCGTAGGATTTAAACAACAAGTAGAACCTAATTTAGCTTATATGCACTGCAACAGTGTTTTTAAGTGTTTGTTCCAGTCGCACTTCGTCTTTGCTTAAGGTGCAAAAGGTAATAGAATCAGCCGTAACTGCGTATTATGCGATAGACAATGCAGGCTACCATAGATTGCTGGCAATCATATACTATTACTTTCCAACTAAGGCGAATGGTATCGAAGTGAATAGCTGGTTCTGCTGTTGACGCCAGTCCATTTGATCGCTCTAGCTCGCAGGTGTAAGAAACTGAACTTTTACTCGGTATTTACCTGTAAGCTGGTTCTTCCTCCCATGGTCTGGACTCTGTAGGATCGTGTCACCCTTTTGGTTCTCCTTTCATTGCACCTCGATCACACCGCGTATCAACAACCGCTGAGTCCAGGCTTTTTATGCAGCGTTGCATAATTGGCATGTGGGCCCCAAACTCCCTTCAAGGGAGTTTGTCCGAAAATTTCTTGGAGCATTCCTTAGAAGCAAGTGGTTATATGTACCACAAGTTTGTCACTCTCATCCTTAGTTGTACTGAAGGTTCAGGTGTGCTGGCCCCTCCAATCCGTCCCAAAGTAAACGGATGCCCTCTTCGCGTGTTATAGCAGTCTTCCAGCCGATATTTCTCCTCTTTTGACTTATTGCGAAAAACAACGACGTTTGAAACACCAGGTGTCGTATCTTTGATCTTACTTTACCGTTGGTGGTGCGTTGCTGCTATAAACCGTCCCAGTAAAGAGGAGCAGCAATAAAAGCGGTGAAGGTCAGGGTGCCTGCATCTCCCAAGATTAATAAGGTAAATTCATGTGACCACTATGTTGGAACAATCTAGTGGTGTCTTTTGCTAATCTCAAACAACGCACAAGAACGAGTTCTAACTGGGCAGTTCTGCTAAAGAGTGACAGGAAGCTCACCACTGGAACCGTGAAATGACACGTCCTGTCGACCTACTAATCAAATGCAAGAAGGGTCACGTCAAGTTGCGGATATCGCACGGTGTCAAAAGTAAAGGCAGGCGCCTCTCACTTGTCACTTCATGGAAAAAGTCTGCAGATTTTTCATTAACAGGGATTCGAGGTGAAAAACTGCTTTTCGTTTGATGATGCCAGGATGATAATTTTTCAGCTCTAACGTCGTTTTACTGCCCAGGTGCGTACCACCCGAAGTAAGCACGAGAGCTGAGATACTGTTAGTTTCGCCAAACTTGGACTGCGTCAATCGAGTTTCTTAGGTTGGGTACGAATTACTTATCTTTCGGTCACTGAGCTCGCGCTCTAACTACGGAGCTACCTAGAACTCAGGTAGACTTAGCACATGCTCCCACCCACTACCCCAATCCGACTGGTTATACTGAATACTCACCATTTCAAGTGCTTCAAGGAGTACTGGAACTGGTGACCTGAATGGGGTCTTTGTTGCGCACAGCTGCTGACGTACTCTCTGGATAGCGTCCCATCGTGGCTGGAGAGTTTAGTGATCATTTGTAACATGACCAAGTACTTTGCTTAAGTCTCCGCAAATCAAGTCCAGCCGACAACTACTATCCAGCGCCGCAGACCACTTTGTTGTCGCTATTAAAATATTGGACACTGGGATTATCTGCGCTAACTATCTGTTATATGATCGTTCAAAGGAACGTGCTTAAAATGATGATGATGATGACGTGCTTAAAAATAATCTTCAGCCATGAAATTTCGTAACCTCTCTCCCACTACGCTTCTCAGGATGATAATTGAATAGCTGGTTCCCTACTGTTGCACATTAGTTCTGCGTGACCTGGCTTCTGACCTTCCGGGGGGATTTCTCCACCAAGCAAACGACGGTAACTAAAGCTCGGCAATGGAATCTGCAAAAGAATTTGATCGATTGGTGGCAGAATGACAGGACTGCACCTGGAATTGTGCGCGTCAACTTGTCGGCCGTGTTTACAAAAGATATAAGTATTCTGCAAAGGTCCTATATATTCTGGGTCCCTAGGCGTTTAGTTGTGTTGTGGACGGCATATGCGATGATATCTAGAGGTGTTCAGTGCATTAGTTAAGAGGATGAGCATAGTTTCGACGTCAGCAACAGAAATGAACGCTGTCGTTCGGTGGATACTCTGAGATTGTAGTTCGAATTCTTAAGCAGGTAATGCTACTGTTCTGTGGTGCGTGGTGTTCCTCAACATAAACTGTTTGATTGCGAACCAATGAACCGCGACGCTCGATTTAATTGAGTAAGTTGGGAGCGCTAGGAGCGGATGAACTTCACTCACCAATATCACGACAATCCCCATCGCCGACATTCTAGTAGTTCTATACCTAGAAGCATTTTTACAAAGTAGGGATTAGGAGCAACCCGTATCTTCACCGACCGGGCAGTTCCGTATCAATGATGTGAACGACGATCGAGCGGCGGATTACACGTCGGCTTTAAGGGAAAACTGATGGCGCTTGTGTCCTAAGGCATTAACCTTCCCATGGCCTGTCGCTGCTTCTTGCATTAATCAAGAATTTAATGTTCATATGCTCGTTAGTCTCGGTAAACCATTCGGGCGATTACAAATACTCTAAATTCCCTGAGTCCCTGTACTTCTGATCATGTGTGTCAAACATTTCATACGAGGAGGCACTTATCTTCCGGTTATGAGTCGCTGCGATGCCTCATTCCTGTGGTATCCCACATTCACCGCATGACCACTACCAGCACGCGTCGATTCAATATCAGATGAATGGATTTTGGATGGATGATTCCGTATCAGTTCCCAGTGTGATGTCAGATGTCACTTGTACAAAAAACAATTTACACGATAGCCTGATACCCAGTTCGTCACTCTGATGTCGGAAACTACTGACGCGATGTGAGTTTCGTAGATTCATGCGTCTACCGCATTTGACGTACTACAGCCGAAACCGACTCGATTCTCGAAGTGCGTAAAACTATCCGCTGTTTCAAGTATCTCTTGCTAGATTGCAGGTAGCTCGTTCAGTGGCATTATGTCACTTTGCACCATTCGTATGTAAACTGTATTCTAATGGGGGGGATGAATATGGTCTGTTCACCTAAAATACCTGTGCTCTTCGAAGACAAGGACGGCATTGTCTGCATATCCCAAGTCGGAAACTGCTCACTTTCATCGATTGCTAGGACCGATGGAATATTTTTTACACACATCACTTTTCTGAGAGTTCTTACACGTCTTCGAGCGCCAGCACTGTCGGCCTCCACTACTACCAACGCTCAAGACATCTCAGTGGTTACGGTGCGAACTTACTGACCGGATGGTCTGTGGTCCGAACCCAAGCCCGTCATCTCGACTGCTCTTACCTAGGCTTTGGCAACCAGGCAGTGTAGCAGACTTCATGTTTCCTTCGCATGATGTGTGTCGCCTAGAGACCGAAAGAATGTTACAGCGGGAAGACTTTCACAATACTACAAAGAATATTCTGTATCCACAATCCTCGACTATGCCCTAGGTGTCAATCGTGTTTGGGAGAACAAACCGGTCTGCAGAGTTGCACAATTTGGAAATCCAGAAACACCGTACGGCAGCGAAGCATCGGTGTTGAACACTGATGTCATGCTGTCGATGATGATGATGACTATGTTTGTGGGTCGCGTATTTGTACATAGTCTTAACTGTCAGTGGAGCGTGAAGCTTTGGTCGATGAAGCTTCCACCACGTTGAACCTCCGATTGCTGCTCCTGAATCAGGCCACGCGTGCCATCATGGAACCAGTGATGCAACTAGTCTCGTATCCGATACCTCTGATCTTGAAAATAAGTCCTCCTACCTAGGCTTGGGCAACCTGGCTGTATCCCAGCCCTCGTGTTTGCTTCTGATGGTAAGGCAGTTAGGGCACCCAAAGGGTGTTACAGCTGAACGAAAATGAGTCCTTAGTTAGTTAGTTAGTTATCTCTGACGTTCTTCAAAATACGGGCGAGTGAGTCGTGTACGTGTTAGTTGATGCCGTCCAGACCACTAGTTTCATCGCGCTTGAAACTGATAAATCAGAGTAAACGGCCACTATCCCTGCCTTGTGCTGAAGTCGGGGAAGCAGGACGAGTTGGAAGTCGCACCTTGAGTCTTTGACCCAAAAATCCAGTCCACAAGGCAGCGGGAAGACTAGAGCTTTGCTCCGGGGCTTTGTGTGTGATCTGTGACTTAATACTCTAATCTGAGAGATATCGCTTGTTGGGGGTTTTCTTGGTGAACTGCCCGGAGCCACTGACACACTTGGTTGTGGGGCCGGACCTGCTTCAGGTCTCAGGGAATAAGACGGAGTTTTCTGACATCTGATGTTATGTCGCACAACAGATGCCACCAAAACCCTTTATTTTTAAAGTGACTTCGACCGTATTGGATAATGCGCTGGCTGTTGCGGTCAATGGGCGGACAATCGGATTGCGCATTTCTTAGGGTTGACCATTACTAACCCGTCCTCTGGAGAATAGCAACATGGTCACTTTTACAAATATAGACATGCTGGCCACATGGAGGAACAACTCACTACTTGCACGCCTAACCTTACAGCTTCATTCCCAGAGTGTCCTAGACTACGATTATTGGAAGTACAGGGACTTGCTGCTCTTTGTCTGCTCCTTTCCTGGTTAAATTTCGAAGAGGAGCTTGCGGGATCATTGCAACATCAATGTTCAACCACCACTCTAATGTGACGCAAAGGGCATGCACCATGATCCGAACAACTAAATCCCCTCTCACAACTAGAACTAATCCATGGTTTAAAGGTGCACTAAGTAATCTGCATTCATCCACTCGTCATTGTAAGGCAAGCTTTGAGATAGTTTCCA